ATATGGATAGCAGCTGCTGAAATATATATATATATATATATATATATATATATATATATATATATATATATATACATACATACATATACATATATACACACACACACATATACATATATATACACACATATGTACATATACAGGGATTATATATATATTGATTGATTATGTGGTCACTGCAGTGATGTGTTGTAAAGTCTAATAGCTGTGGGGAGGAATGATCGACGGAAGCGCTCCTTCTTGCACTGAGGGTGTAACAGTCTTGTGCTGAAGGAGCTGCTCAGAGCCTCCACAGTGATTTGATAGATTGTATTTATATATTGTAATTTTCTGTTTTACTCCTACTTTACTTCTTATCTTTTTTCTTCTATTTTTGCACAGCCAAATAGGGTGACTCAGAGATGCATTTCACTGCATGTTGTACTGTATGTGATGAATAAACCTCTTGAATCTTGAATGGGAAACATTAAATGCAGGTTTGAAGTGCACTGCTAGGACAGTTTTTATCAGGCTCCTAGAAGCAGGACTGAAGTCCCATAAAGCAAGGAAGAAACCCTTCATCAATAAGAAGCAGGGAAGAGCCAGGTTGGAGTTTGCAAAAAATGTATAGTTTACACAAAAAATGATGCTGTGGTCTCTTAATTTTTTCCGTGGCTGTATATGATATTATATATTATATATGCATTATTTCCAAACACTGATTTTTCTGAAAGTGTTTTCATAATGGTGGGTTGACTTTTCACAAACGTCAAAAAACAGAAAGGGGCTTAGCCTACCAAAGTTTGATTGGGTTGTACTCTGCCAGGCTTTTTCAATCAATGTGTATCTGTGCTGGCCACAAATTTCTGGTATGAATACAGAAATGGCTTCCATAGACAATCTGTGCCTGACCTCCTTTGCTAGTGTGCAGGTTGCTTGGATTCTGTTCTTGATGACAGTGATGACGACCTCCCGATGAGCACAAACAGAACAACAGCAATGAACCCTACTGAATGGGGGTATTGTTACCCTGCGTTTTTCTTTGTGGCTGGCTGTAAATCTGCAGCTATTGTGATAATGGATAATGGCTCTGATTGTATGATGTATTTTCAAAACAAAATGCCACATTTAATTAATTATAAATGTAATTATGTATTTATTAAGTTAATTCATTGTGAGTAAGTTGGTCCTCCATGTTATTGTACATGATAATCTGTATATTATTTGAAATAACAAGGACAGCACAGCTGTTTCAGTTTCGATGGTATTTTGTTATGGTACTCAGAATGTTTTGTCATGACAGTGGTAGTACTCTGTGTCATCCTCTTGCTGTATATCTTTACCTAATTGTCCACTTCCTGTCCAGTGAAGAGGTTTCTTTGGACTGTACCATTCCTCACAACACAAGGTATCTAAGACCTCACTGCCTTGTTTAAGATAGATAGATGGATGGATGGATGGATGGATGGATGGATGGATGTACTTTATTCATCCAGAAGGAAATTTAGGAAGTTAATTTAATGGATCTGTTGGATCCATTTCAGCCTCCTCATTTTGCTTCTCCAGGTCTCAGAGTTTCACTGCCCATGCTTTGTTTGCCTCTGTTGTTTTGGTTTGTTTTCCTATCTACTCAAAATTCAGTGACACAGATTATAAACATGACTCTCAAGTGCACTTAGCCCATTCCTAACATATGTCCATGGATAAAAGTTCATCTTAGACAAGATGCTATTCCATTACCAAGGGCACACACTCATTTAAGGGCAATTCTAGAGACACCAGATCACCTAACTGCATATTTTTTAACTGTGAAAGGACACCCGAATCCCAGAGGAAAACCATAGATTTAAACCACTCCAAACAATTTGAGTCCACAACGATTTGAGTCCACGACCCTGGATGTGTGAGCTTATAATGCTACCCCCTAAGCAACATCATGCCCCAGTTTCTTTTTAGAGAATAAGTATTTCAAAGGCACTCTTGGTAACATAAAATAATACATTGTAGTAAACAGAGAGGACTGCAAACCTAAAGTGTTTTAAATGTGAAATGTACAATTGAAACCACTTTGATTTAATAATCAATAAAATTTACTGGGTACTAATTGAGTGTAATGCAGTAACATATTAAGTTTACAGTTGGCCAATTATGCGTGTTCTTGTGATTTATTTCCCAGTCACAATTAGAATAAGTGTTAGTGTGATTCAACATGAATAAAGGGTCAATCTTCGGAGAGAGTGAGCATACTAGTCATTGTAAGGCAGGTGTCCTGCATCTGGTTTGTCTGTGATTCATATAAATTCGTTCATTTATTCATATGAATTTGAATAAAAATGTAAACTTACTGCCGACTAACTGTCATGTAAATTTATTTTACACTAAATTGGCTAACGTTTGTAAATACTAAGCGAGTTCACTTCCGGTTTGTTCGGACATGACGTTTGCGGAAGTTAATTTAAACACAAAGATGGCTGAAGAGGAGAGTTCGTTCTCCGAGTTTGAGCGAATTGACTTTCTCAAAGACAGACATGTACGATTCTTTCAGAGATCTCTGCAGGTCTTGCCCGAAAGATATTCGTCTTTGGAGACGAACAGGTAGCGTATTTAGTCATTCTGTATCACACAACGTGGTTGATAAAAGGGTCATGTGTGAAAGCCTGGTGTGTCCGCTGGGGCACCCTCCGCCCCGGCTGTGCGCCTGTATTCCGCACATGTGCTTTTTCAGAACAGTGTGTTTGCGTTTGTTTACAGTAACATTACCCCGTTAGCAGCTCTTTAACCTTTGTAAAACAAGTCAACATTAATCCAAAGGCTGTCCTCCGTGTTACCGCGCTGCCAGTTAAAATCACTGCGAATTTTTTGGCGACAGTGTCACCCAGAATTCAGACCACACACGCACTTTGTTTAAAGGACATTAGCTTTTATTATACTGAAATACGATGTTGCACTCAAAATGTCTACAAACACATCGCGTGTCCAGTGCGTGGTTTGCTTGTGGTTTGTTGATCCATCGCTTACTGTCTTGAAGGTGAAACGGCAATAGCCAAGTAAGTGAGGATGCTCACAGTAGCCCGCGGAGCGAACAGGCCCCTCCATTGCTAACGGGAATTTAAGCTGTCATCTTTATGCTTTCTGGTGTCAGTCAGAAACGCTTGGACGCTTGATTCTCGGTTTACGTCTTTCTTAAATTCGTTTAATTAGCGGGGCGGATCACTTGGTGTTTGAGCTGTCGTTTGGGTGGTAATTGAGATGATGTTTCTAAAACCATCAACTGCCATTTGAATCGTAAGGTGCTTTTCTATACCTGTGTTCCTTCCCTCATTTCTTCGCTTGCAGCAGCTGCATCTTTTTTGCAGTTGCTCGTCAGAGTTGCATTGAAACAGTCGAGCAGCAGCAGTGGTTGATCCGATCTGCTTCTTCGCCAGGTTGACCATCGCATTCTTTGCCCTCTCTGGCCTTGATGTTCTCGATGCCTTGGATGTTGTGGACAAGTCGGCGCTGATAGAGTGGATTTACTCACATCAAGTCCTTCCCACCGAAGACAGTAAGTGTGTCGTCTTGTCTGAATTGAGCCTTTGCCCATGCAAACCTCCGTACTGTCCCCCGGCTGAAAATAATGCAAAATAAAATGTTACCTAAGGGAAAATTACAGGATTATGCCTTTTCATGAGTGGGCATGCTCAGCGATTTAGTGGCAACACGGTCCTGTACACCGCCTGCTGTCCTCAGCTAGTAATTACAAGCAGGCTGATTTATGATGAAACCGGACCCAGTTTTGGAGGCCTGTTGGGACCGTCTTCTGTGTGCTGGTACGACAGAATAAGCCGTTTGTGTCGGAGCAGGCCAGCTGGGACAGAGAGGACTAATGAAATAATACTAAATTTTTTCTATTATTACATTATGAGTACCAGTAGTCAGTCCTGGGTATGACGTTAATCTGCATCCGGCCTTGCAAGCGGTCCTCCAACTTGCAGGGAAACAATTTTTGGAGGTTGGTGGTGGGATTGGCACTCCAGGTACGGTAAAACACTTCACAGCAGCTCAGTCTAAACAGGCACGACACCCTTCTGCTCTCTGCGGGAGTAGCTCTGCTGCAGCTGCCCGCAGGAAGGCTGCACGCACCATGAAGGAGATGGGGGGGGGGGAGCCTTTGGGAGCCTCATCCCTGGAAGAGTCTGAACCGTCTGAGACCTAATAGGGTCAGGCCAGTTAGGGATCGGGGCTGGTGTGGTGCTGAAGCATCGTCCGCTGCATGGCGGCACTTAGGTCCCAATATGAGGTAACCCATCCGGGTAGGCGCGTGGAACATCTTGTCTCTCTGGCAAGATGACCATCTTCCTCTGCTGTCAGGGGAGCTTTGTAAGCAGATCTCCGCAGGTGGGTGTACCTACTTTTGGTCTGCTTGCTCTAATGGCTGCCATGTAGCAAAATTATACTTATGAACCATTTGATGTATTTTTTGACTCCACTAGATGGTGCTGTCTGTTCAAAAAAAGGGTCCAAAGCATATCCCAAAGCAAGCCAAGAGCGCCATCTAGTGAGGTAAAAAAATACAGCAAATGGTTCATGAAGCTTCATTTGCCCATCACTACTGCCATGCTCAGGGAGTAGCTGTTGCTGTGGCAGATCAGCTCCTCCTGGTGGTGTCTGAGGTCACTCCTTTCAACCAGCGTATTATGAGACTCAGGCTAAGGCACTCTTTGGGTGTCTTGTCTGTTGTCTCAGTGTACCCTTAAACCACAGTGACTGATGTCTCGCAGCTTTGCTCTGTGGTTAATGAGTACCCACGAGGTAACACTCCTCTGGTCATGGGTGACTTCAGTGCGACCACTGAGACTGACAGGGCTAGCTATGAGGTTTGTGTCGGTCCCCATGGGTCTGGAGACTGGGGTGAGTGTGGCTCCATGTTCCTTGACTTTGCGAAAGGTCAGGGGCTGCGGGTCACTGGATCCTGGTTCCATCACCCTGAGCCGCATCGTTGTACTCCAATAATGGTGATGCAGCAAAGGAGATTGATCACATCCACGTGTGCAGACGTTGGAGGCTCCTGCAGAACTGCAGGGTCTACAGAAGTGCCCAGTTTGTGAATTCTGACTACGGACCTGTTGTTGCTACTCTGAAGATTCAACTCAGATCCAGTAGGCTATCAACTACCTGGAGAATGAGACAGAATACAAGATCAAGCTGTTTCTGATGAGTTTGCACACAGTCTGTGTGGAGAACTTGCAGACTTGGGTGCGAGGGTTGTGTTGGTGTTGCTGGTGTTCCCAGAAGGAGATGTTTCATCTCACAGGGCACCCTGGAAATTATTGAGAGGAGTCGCAGCGCACAACTTGGTGGCAACTCCAGTCTGTACTGGGAACTGAGATGGACTGCTGTGAGGGCTCTGAGGGCAGATAAGGAGGCGTTTGTTAGACAAATCTGTGAGCAGGTGATACATCATATGTGGTCTAGTGACCCACGTCCTGCTTACAGAGGAATCAAAGCATTACGCACATCTGAATATGTTCTTCGGAGACAGATTCAGGGTGGATGATGGAATGGTCCTTGTGGATGACACTGCACTGATTGTGGCAGCTACAGGGGGATAACACTGCTTTCAGAGCCGGGTAAGGTCCTTGTTGGGGTCATCCTTAACAGGATCCGTGTTCACTTGCACACCTGTTAGTGGTCGTAGCAGTCTGGTTTGACACATAAGAGGTCTACCATCGACCGCATCCTGGCACTGAGGGTTCTCATTGAATGCAAGTGCAAATAAAGGCAGAGGTTCTTTGCACCCTTTGTTGATTTCCATAAAGGGTTTGATTCAGTTGACCGAGTTGCCCTGTGGGGCATCTTGAGTCTTTGCGAGATCCCCCCGAAGCTTCTGGACGTCTTGGCCGGCCTGTACACTGGTCTGGTGAGTGCTGTGCAGAGTGGAGGGAGAACCTCCGCGTTCTTCCCACTTGATTCTGGGGATCCCCAGGGGTGTGTTCTTGCTCCTACTATGTTCAATGCTTGCATGGACTGGGTGTTGCGCAGGGTCGTGGGGTCCAGCGGCTGTGGGGCATTTGTTAGTGTAGAAAGTTTTACTGATCTTGACTTTGCCGACGATGCTGTGATCCTCGCAGAGTCAATGGAGGCTCTGATCGGGGCTCTTGAGAGACTGAGTGAGGAGTCTGAGTGTCTGGGATTGTGGGTGTCCTGGATAAAAACCAAGATCCAGGCCTTTAATGATTTCTTAGGCACAGCCATCAGTAATGTGTCTGTCTGCGGGGGAGGTGTCGACCTCGTCAAGAGATTCACCTACCTCGGCAGCGACATTCATGTCTCTGGTGACTCTTCCTATGAAGTCAGCAGATGGATTGGAAGAGTATAGGGGGCCATGAGGTCACTGGAAAGGGGTGTGTGGTGCTCCAGATATCATTGCAAGAGGACGAAGGTCCAAGTCTTTAGAGTCCTGGTCCTCCCTGCATTGCTGTATGGCTGTGAGACATGGACGCTATACAGTGAGCTGAGACGAAGACTGGACTCCTTTGGTACTGAGTCTCTTCGGAGAATCCTTGGGTACCACTGGTTTGACTTTGTGTCGAATGAACGGTTGCCTGAGGAGTCCCAAATGAGGCACATTACCTGCATTGTGAGGGAGCATCACTTACAGCACTACGGCCATGTGGCGCGTTTCCCTGAGTGTGATCCGGCTCACAGGATCCTCATTGCTTAGGACCCGAGCGGCTGGACCAGGCCAAGGGGACGCCCATGTGACACCTGGCTGCGGCAGATGGACAAATAACATTCAACTTGTGCCCAATACGTATAAAATTCACTGCTGTATCTCAAGAAAAAAAGTAGTTTTTAGTTTTAGGATAAATTTGTTAAAATAAGTCCAGTGACTCCACTGTTTGGATGCTGAAATCCTGTCTGCTTCTCTGACTCCACATCCTCCCTGTCCTGCTGTTCCTACCCCCCCC